TTTAAACTTTATTTACAAATATGGTAATATGGTATTTATTTGAACAACACCCGTCATTCCGCCTATAACTAAGATACAACAGAAAATTAACATCTAAAGGAAATTAATATACTTAACCTTCCTTTTTTGAAGTTCCGTAATCGGATAAAAAGTAGCCTATAAGTTGCCCCGGGTTACTGAATACCTACATACAAAATTTCATGTAAATCTGTTCAGTAGTTTTTGCGTGAATCCGGAATACACAGACAGACAGACAGACAGACAGAAAGACAGACAGACAAAAATTCTAAAAACCACTAATTTGGCTTCAGAACCCTTTATTTAGTCCCCTCGACTTGTTTTTTCAAGAATATACACACGAATATACAGACACGACTTTTCTACAGATTTATTATATGTATAGATGAGGTATTCTGTTTTAGTCCACAGAGATGACAACGCACCTGCATTTTGATCTTTAATCCAGGATAGATGTCTTTGGGCCCCAGCATCCACTTACCATCAGATGGATTGTGTGCACATTTGTCGCTGTTATTCTATAAAAAATCAGCTCGTCCCTAGAGTTGATTTTTATGTCTCATTATTCCTCACAAACACTAGTGTAAAAGGACAACATATTGCTAATATACGTAAAGTGCGTACTGGTAGTGGACGCCGGGCCTTATATTAGACAGTTAACATTGTAGTTGGTAGTGTAAGACTAATATGACACCATTTGTACCAATGAAATTGTGAAGGAAAACACCGTGAGAAAACCGTAATGTCCCAGGAAAGAAAAAAATTTTATAGTGCATGTGAAGTCCAGAAACACGACAGACAGGAAGTGTGTGCCAAGTAGTGCGACGTATATAGGCTGGGAATTTATTTATGTCTGTAGATTCGATAAAAATTATGAATTAAGAGGAACGCGGAATTTTTTTTTCAGACAAAGGTACCTCGTTACTCACGTTTGGACATAGGTCTGTCCTAATTTAGGAGAATCAAAGGAGGAGAGCCAGTATAATTACAGACAAGAAGTCACAAAAACTTTATGGGAAAATTAAAAATACAAGTGTTTGAAATAGGACAGAATAACGTCAACGTCATAGGTGAATGTGAGAGGTTCAATATATTTTAACTGTTTTCTATGTTTAGGGTAACAAGGGAAAAATACACTGGGGCAATCTTGAACAAATTATGTATATAAAACAAAATTTTAATGTATAGAATCATAATATTCATATATACATAATATTCTTCTTAATACAATTGTTTATAAAACTTAATTCTGTCTTGCTCGAATACTGCCACATTTGTGAATATTTCAAAACAAAGAATCACTGATAAATAAATCTTTGCCCTTTAGTTTACTCTGTGATAAGAATCTATACGATACACTTTATATATTCATACTTACGTTGACCCTGTTACACATAAGTATCAGTTATAACGCATAAAAACTTGTTTTTTATCGAAGAGTTGATGTAACGCTCGTAGACAATAATGCTCGTATTCTTGCTGGTTGTGTTCAAAATGAAAGTCAGTGTTATACAACTGCTAGACAACATATCATACCAACTAATTGATCATAATCAATGTCATCAATTGTTTACAATTATCATGATCTATTAACGTTGAATAATTAATTATTTAGATGTTTACTTCCGTTTTTACAGCTTTTATCACTGCTGGAGTCCTAACAGACCGAGGGCTACCACTTCTTGACCTGTCATCTACACTAGAGTCTTCATTGTATCGTTTGATGGTCCGATAAACGAATCTTTTGGTTATATTCAAATTTTTCAGTATGTCAAAAATTTGAACTGGCGCGTAACCGCAACGATGCAACGCAATAACTGCAACACGGTCTTCTTTAAGCATCCACTCCATATTTAAAAATGAGTAAAATTCTAAAAAGTATACAGTTTTATTTTCATGAACAATTCGAAATTCGAATTCAATAAACTTTTTTGTGGCCAGCATTCTAAAAGAAAAGTTTTTACTGTGTGACAATACTTATGACTTGACTAGGTATATATATTAACTTATATTTTACATGTTTAAAAATAATATTTGCAATCTGATTTGATTCCAAATATTTTATTTTTATTTTCAAACACATAGATTATAACTTGCACTATGTTCCCTGATTTTTATATACTAGGTCTCCAGGTATCCGAGTACAAACTGGGCTCTAGTGGGCAAATGTGGTGGGTGGTTACACCTAGTACATCATATACAAGGCATGTTGAGTAAATAAATAGAAGTTGAATTGCTTTTAACAGTAACAATATATTTTGTATATTATTGAACATTGGTTAAAATATTATATAACTGTAATATATTTAATTTCAGTAAACACCAGTAGGGCTAGCATGGGCATGAGACAAATTTTCCCCGGGGAAAGGAGAAAAGGTTTTTCTATCCACACTTCAAGCATGGGCACACCGGTGGATATAATATCCACAGTAGATAAAATGGGATATAGACTTAGATAATTTTTTGTATGAATATAAACTTAAACCCTTGAACTAGGATAGAATTGTCCCTTTTAAATGTCAAAAAAGCATAATTTTTTATCTTTCATTTGGCTCCATGCTACGGACGGGGGATATATTATGTCTACTCGTTATGTCAAACCTGCAGGGCTAGCATGGGCAGGAGACAATTTTATCCCCGGGGAAAGAAGAAAATGTTTAGCTCCTCGCTTAGTTTTATCCACAGTAGATGGGAGACACACTTAAGACTTAGATAGATTTTTGTATGAATATAAACTTAAACCCACATCCAATGAAGTAGGATAGAATTGTCCTTTTCAAATGTCAAAGAAGCATATTTTTTATCTTTCATTTGGCTCCCTGCTACGGACAGGGGATATATGTCTAATCGTTATGTCAAACGGAGATATACTTCTCCCCGTTGCCGTGCTTTGGCATAGGGACAAGATAATTTTATCTCTTGTCAGTGGATATAATCGGGGGATAAAACTTTTGTCTCCAGTTCATGCTAGCCGTGCTGGATATATCTATATATCCCCGTTGCCGTGCTTTGGCATAGGGACAAGATAATTTTATCTCTTGTCAGTGGATATAATCGGGGGATAAAACTTTTGTCTCCAGTTCATGCTAGCCGTGCTGGATATATCTATATATCCCCGTTGCCGTGCTTTGGCATAGGGACAAGATAATTTTATCTCTTGTCAGTGGATATAATCGGGGGATAAAATTTTTGTCCACAGCCCATGCTAGCCGTACAGGTGGTCAGTTAATTTACCAGAAAAAAAAAACGCGGTGGCACCCTAATATTAGCCAATAAATTATTATAATATAGATAAAGTAAGAATAGTAAATATTGTGAAAAATCCTTCATTAAATATAAAAACAATAGTGACTATTCATATGGAACATTATTTAAGCTTATTAGCCTTGAATTTAATATAATATTTACTTCTAAAACTTTCGCTCTAAACAGTCGCAAGTTGCGTAATGAATGGGCGACAGTAGGAATCTATAAGAGTATACGAAGGTTATATGATCTTCACAATTAAAGATCATATAATCATAGCAATACATTCAGAGAATATGTAAAAAAATATTCCGAAATTTTAAAAGAGTTTGTTCCACATCAAAGTTTTTACATTTAAAATCAAAATTAAGACTGCCGCTAATAACATCAAAATGACGTGGAGTATTATCAATAGGGAAACTGGCAAGAAGAAACTACTTAAAACAACTCAGATTTTCAATTGAATTTTAACAGTAATTTAACAAAATCAGATCAATTACATTGCAACGGCTTTTTAGCAATATTTTAGCGACATTCTAGTCATGACTACTCTCTGAATTCCTCTATTACTGTAGCAGAGTTATTACTCATACATAATGATAGATATGATTGCATTCCTGTTACAAAAAAATTACAATTTCGTGTACCTACTAGATCACATGTAAGATCAACATGCTCACGTCAAACATTTGCCCTTCCCTTATGTAGAACCAATGCTGGCAAAAGAGCGCCATTGTATCGTTTAATGCAAAATTATAATGATCACTTTTGTGACATTGATATTTTTGATAATGGTGCAAATTTCTTTAGAAACAAAGTAATTAATAAGCTTATGAGTCTTACAAACTAAAGAAGGGAAAGGGAAAAAATCAAAACTCAATCATAATACAATTGAATTATATAATGAATTGAATAAAATTTTGAGTTTTTTTTTGTTTATAGCTATATTGTAATTTTTGTTTTTAAATAGATCGATAATGCTGATCTCTTGTCTACTTAAATTAGAGTTTAAGTTAATGTAATGTCTAATGTCTTTTTGTAATATTGCTTATGTACTAAGTCCTCCTTCACATCTCTCAAGTTTGTAATTTAATGTATAAATTATTATCTGAGGCTGGTGGTGTTGGCTTCACTAAATTTAAATTTTAGAATTAAGATTAGTTATTAATCCTCTGTTGAAGTTGTTTACTGGTCCTTAAATGTTTAAAAAAAATGTAAATAGCTGTATAAAAATACGACTTCCATAAAATGTTATCAGGAGATATTGTAAAATATTTGAAAACTATTAATATTAAGAAAACCGCAGATCTATTGGCGATTTCTGAAAGTTATTGCGTCTATAATAGATGCCATCCCGTCTGCACTTGCTTGCTTGCTTGCTTGAGACACAGCAAAGTCATAACTTTATTTAAGTGTAGTACATAATCTTGACCTGGACCTTACTAAGTTTAGACCAATTACTGTAGTGCTAATACTTGGTAAAATTTTTAAAAAAATATTCTAGATCTTTCTTTTTTATAGAAGAGGGGGCAAACGAGCATGCGGGTCGCTTGATGGTAAGTGACTACCGCCGCTCATGAACAACCGCAACACCAGGGGAATTGCAGATGCGTTGCCGGCCTTTTAGAAAGGTGTAAGCTCTTTTCTTGAAGGTCCCTAAGTCGTATCGGTCTGGAAAAATCGCCGGTGGTAAACAATTCTACAGAGAAGTTGTACGAGGAAAAAACTCCTAGTAATACGTACAGTCGTGGACCGCCAAGCATCCAGATGGTGAGGATGGTATCGTAAATTTAGACGCGATGTGAGTTCGTGAAATTTGGCGACTGGAATTAATTCGAACAATTCCTCAGAGCACTCCCCGTGGTAGATGTGAAAAAAAATGCAAAGGGATGCAACATCTCTTCGCAGTGCCAATGCGATTCATTGCGAGCCGATCGGAAAGGACTCGGTCGTCGAAGATTCGAGCCGCTCTGCGCTGGATGCGGTAAAGTGGAAGGAGCTGGCACTGGGGAGCCCCTCCCCAGAGATTGGAACAGTATTCCATGTGAGGCCGAACCTGCGCCTTGTAAAGTTGCAGGTGGTGTGCCAGCATGAAATACTGTCCCGCTATGCTGAGCACGCCAAGCTTTTTAGACGCCAATTTGGCCTTCTCTTCCAAGTGACCACGAAACTGCACGTCACTCGATATGTCGACTCCGAGGATTCCGATACTGGCTGAGGCAACAAGGGGAGTGCCTTGAAACTGAGGAGATACGACAAAGGGGTTCTTTCTAGTGGTAAACGCGCAAACTTGTATCTTCTGGGGATTGAACTGGACTAGATTTAGTCGCCCCCAATCCGAGACTTTGTTCAGCAAAGACTTGACTTCAGACCAAAGTTTGTCCCGGTATTCGGCAACGTTTTCCCGAGAAAAATTGGCACGGCCGGTATATACGGCATCACCAGTGCTGTCGTCTGCATAGCAATGAATGTTACCAGTTTGCAACATATCATTGATATGCAGGAGAAACAGCGTTGGTGATAGCACGCAGCCTTGTGAAACACCAGCGTTGATAGTCTTGAAATCAGAGTATGCACCGTCTACCACGACCGTGATGCTCTGATCAGCAAGGAAACTGGTGATCCATTTGCACAATTTCTCGAAAAGCCCATAGTAAGGAAGCTTCGAAAGAAGCGCTTTGTGCCAGACCCGATCGAAAGCCTTCGCTATGTCCAAACTAACGGCCAATGCCTCCCCCTTGGACTCTACTGCCTCCACCCATCTATGAGTCAGGTAGACCCGAAGAGCGTTCTTGGCACGATACCGCGGGGAGTAGGTCTATATGATAATTAAGTTTCTAGTTTTAGTTTTTTTTTATTATTATAGTTTTTAACATTGTATATAATAAAATATTGTATATTATGTTATGTAAAAAAAATAATTAATAATTTCACTAGCGCTGGTGGGGATCAAACCCGGTTTGCGTATTATGAAACTTACAGCGAGCGCTAACCATTTGAGCTACCACGGCTTAGACTTTTATTAAAAAAACTAGCTGGCCCGGCAGGCGTTATTCTGCCCTTTCTGGTTGGTGGCGCTATGAGTTTATTTTCACCGACACACTTTTCTATAGACTTATAGCTAAATCCTCTTTAGGACTAATAGAACTATCAGCAGCCTAATAATAAGCGTAACTAATACGTGGTAGAGCTATGCTGCAGCTATATTAGTTGTATAGTTGTAGCACGAATGGGTCGGCTCGACCGGGGAAGGACCACGCTCTCACAGAATACCAGCGTAAAATAGCAGTTTAACACTGCTGTGTTTCGTATGGTGAGTGTAGAGAACCGGAGACCCTTTTTACTGGAAAAGAGGCGTTCCATCTTAGTCCTCACCGGTGACAACGCATCTGCATTTTGATACGCAAACGAGGATATATGTAGATGTCTATGGGCCACAGCAACCACCTACCATCAGGTGGACTGTGTGCTCGTTTGTCACCCTATCCTATAAAAAAAAGCCATAATCACAATAAACCAAAAAAAGGAAAAACATTTTCACCTTTATTACTGTTCCTTAAGCGGGTAAAAGTTACCCCATATGTTTTACACCGTCATTTGCAGTGTACATACAAAATTTCATGGAAATCTGTCCAGTAGTTATTGCGTGAATCGTGAACAAACAATTTTTTCTACAGATTTATTATATGTATCTAACATGTTATGTTAATCTAACAGTTAGTAGCAACGAATTTAAATATTTTAAATAATTTGCAGTTCTAAGCGGAGCTGGCGCAGAACTAATGGTTCTTGGTTACGAAGTTGCTCCGGGATTTCTGTAAGTAACTATAGACTTTGCTCTTAGTCTTAATATATATAAAATATTATAGTAAAAAGAAAACGATGCAACCTTGTTGATGTATGCAGTTTTTTAGTTAAAGCCCGATCGTACTAGAAGAGACATTTTGTCGAGTACATTAATATCACGTATTTAGGACGTATATATGTCCCACTACTATTTGGAGGGGAGGGTTCTCCTCTCATTTCTGAGATGGTTTTAGGACAAGGTAGTTTCCGCCACGTAGCTCCAATGCTTGTTAGTGGACTGTACATTTACTCAAAATATTTGAATTTGCCAGACGTACAGGTTTCCGCACTATGTTTCCCTTTAACACGTTTGAGCATGTGGTTAATCGCGATAAATAATTTCAGAGTGTCATCTGCTTAAAGCATTTAGACAGCAGGCTTCGAAACAGGAATTGCTTTGGTACTTTTAAATGTAATGTGGCGCCTTTCCCTAAGGAACTACAGTTCTATATCAATAGACTATTAACAATCAATTTTCAATTTACATTTACTATAGTCATTTAATAGTATAGTAATTTAATAATAATTCGTTAGTTTGAGAGTTAGTTAGGTCTCAACCTCTGTTATACTTTATGTCTAAACTTAAAATTACAATATTATGTGCTCTACTCTTCTTTACATTTCCATACAATATATTTGCACGGCTCAGACGCTTGTTCCAGTTTTCATTTCGGATTTACCAAGTTTTAACGATGACTTTATTATGATATTCAGTGAGATGTCATTTTTATAGCAATAAAAAATATTTCTAGTAAAACTCAGGCTTGGCGTCGGGAGAGACTTAAAACAGACATTAAGTAACTTTGCCATGTTAGAGCCAATATTGTTCTGTCGAGAGCGTTGTGTAATGTTGGCGTTGCGCCGTGCTTAGAAAAGAGCGCTCGTTAGTGTGGTCCTTACGTTCAGTGTTCATTAACCTGGAATCCGTCGACTTGTTTTTTTTTTAATTTGAGAGACCCGTTAAAATGCTCGCTGTTGACTTTTACTCCATTATGATAAAAATGATGTTAACACATTGCATAGCACAATATTCATGTTTTAAGAACACTGTAATAAGCCGTTAGTTTACTATATTTTAAAATATTTTAAATTCTATTTTTTTTTCTTTTACGTGGTAGAGCCATGCTGCAGCTATATTAATTGTATAGTTGTAGTATGAATGGGTCCGCTCGACCGGGGAAGGACCACGCTCTCACACAATACCAGCGTAATAATAACTGTTACTAATTCTTGTGTTTCGTATGATGAGTGTAGAGAACCGGAGACCCTTTTTATTGGAAAAGAGGTATTCCATCTTAGTCCTCACGGCTGACATAGCATCTGCATTTTGATTCGCAAATGAGGATAGATGTAGATGAGCCACAGCAACCACTTATCATCAGATGGACTGTGTGCTCGCCTTCAGACTGTGTCCTATAAAAAAAATTGTGACGGGGGAGCGTTAGAAAATCTATGCACCAGCTTTGTCCCATTAGTGTTGTAAAATCTGAATAAACGAAATGCCAGGTTAAACTACGATACGAATTTTGTGCTATCCGGAGTAAATAAAACAGGAATCGGTATCTTATCAAAGAGATCTGTTAGTACAAAATTTAATCTACCTGTAGGCAATATTACCAATAATATGGTATTGATTCTTGTATATATCAAAATCAATTTCGTATCTACTTAGATACCATGGTGTAATCATTTGTCTATCTGCGGTAGAGATATCAAATATAAATTATAAAAAAATGTGACACCTAAGTAAGAAAAAGTAAGGGGTGAACTTTTTAATATAACTATCTCAAAAACCTTCTAGTTATTACATTGGACTTGGAATAAAGGGTTAAAAATGAAATTGATAAGACCTAGTGATAAAACATTTGAAGCCCAGACTTCGGAAGTCATTATGTGGAATTTTTTTTGAAATCAATTTTTATTTTTTAAGTTTAATTTTTTGTATTCTTCAAATGTATAAATCGCAGGCTTGAACAATATCAAATAAATTTCTAATTTCATAAAATCTATTAAAGACAACTCGTCGATATATTTGCGAATCTACATCTCTATGCTCTATATTTGAATGTTTAGCAAATATGTAGACGCGTTAGTCCTTACAGCTGAAAAATTAGTTAAAATTAATGCAAAAGTATTTAAGTGTTCTTTGCTGAAATAAAAAAACCTGTATATCACATCAATGTGCTTATGACTTTTTCTCCCTAAAAATAAAAAGAGCTAAAGAAAATATGATCTTTACAAATCCGCGCATGGCTAAGTTTAAATATAATGAGAGCCGTCTCTATAACCATAAAGCGAATTGTTAGAGCGCTGAAAAATAAAGTGCAAACATTGTCTTTGATCCAAAACCTGGTTTGGACTGTGGACTATTAGCGCCACAATATTACACTGCATACTTTACATTCACTTCACATGTATATATATATACACACACACCCATACATATATATGTCCTTTTATGAACGCTATTATTTTAATTGGCTATTCTTACGTTTATATGTGTGTATTTAAAATAGTACAACTGGTTCCTTGGTTAATGGTATGAATAATTACTTTACGACGATAAATCTCAAGTGTAAATATTGTTTGTGCAGAGTTGGCGCTGCATTAGTTTTCCTCTTGGAAACAATGTGGGTGGTGGCGCTTTTCGTGGATCTTTTGTGCCGGCGGGGAGAATACACACACTCGCTGCGCTGCTGGGACTTAATGCGATGGTCATGCGGTAGAGCCCGGGCACCATTTTATGCGTGCGCTGCCACCGCCATCTTGTTTGCTAACCTAACGCTTTTAGCTGCTGTTGCAGGTAAAACGTATACATATAAAGTAATATGTTTAAATTTTGTTTGTCATTATAATTAAAAACAAGCTCGTATGCCTGTTAGCCATTGCACGCCATGAACATGCGGAATGACATTATCTGGGGGCACGGCAGCCGATCATCAAAACTCTAAGGCACTTCTAGCAGATGCAGAAGCTTCAAATTTAGAACACAATTAGTCTTTAGTATATAGATCAAGAAAAAACTAAAATATTTTGTAATTTCTGACCAGTTTTCTAGATACATCAACTGCATAAATAACTTTGTAATCCAATATAAATATATGGGATTACAAAGTTACATTTGCAGTGAATGAATCAGTGTACCTGTATATGTATAATATAATGGAACAATAGATGTAGATAGGTACATAGACATAATTATATTCAAAGGTAACTTGTAAAATGGTCAACAGCATGAAAAAGCAAGAATGGGACATGTCTTATGAAGTTGTACCAAAATCCCGCAAAGTATTAAGTAGACTAAATTGCCCGAAAATCCGTAGTTGGTATTCAAGTAGTAGATGGTACCGCAAAGGAAAAATAGTAGGACTATCTACAAAAAGAAATGAGATGCCATCAAAAACATAACTTGTAAAAAAAAACCAAGTCTCGCAACTCAGATATTCTACCGTAAAAAGTTGTGAGATCTATGTAATACCAAGTCGGTTAATTTATTCAGTCCCTACTTAAGTGTCCTTCTGTCTTAAATTATTACGTAATTAACTAACCTATCAACATCTTATACTGACCATATCAATATTAAAAATCTTTTATGTTTTAAATACATAGATTGACTTGGCCATCGCACTAAACAATATAATTTAATATAATATGTAATATGCCTGGCGTAAACGATATGGATTCGATATCGCCACCTATCGGAAGCCATAAGATCTTTTGGGCACATCCCACAGTCACTTCCTACGACACCCACGAGACAAATCGAGTGATGAATTCTCTTACGCAGTCATCACACGTTCTTATAATTTCAGTTTTGTCAATATTTTAATTAACATAGTTACAGTTAAGTATAATTATGACTTGTTTATAGAAAAGAGAAAAATTCAAATATGTCCCATACCTAATGTCACTTTCACAACTAAAATGAAGCTATAGATTCACCTACATTCTACAGAACGTACAAAAGGAATGATCGTACATACATACGTACCAACATACGTTCAAAAAACATTACACTTCTTCTTAGACAGCCGGCTAAAAAGGGTATTATGACCTCTGATTATGGTATAGCCATCTCATATTATCATCATCATCCATAACACATTTTTTTAAGTCGTCTACAAGACAGTACACACCAGTAGATCCATTTCTTGGAAGATTTCCTATACTCAACAGGTCGAGCGCAAAAAAGGTCGGCTCCTCGGAGAGCTAAAATATCAATTAACCTTTTGGCTTACCAAAGATTAATTGATATTTTGGGATGGATCTGTCAGTCGGTTGCCGTAGCTTTATTCTCAGCAAGATGCGTGCAGGTGAAATTGGCAAGAAAAATTTATATATTCTTCCTTACGTCTTTTTATGTCTCGTACATGTCAGATTCATTACTCAGACCACTCGAGTTACATCAGCTCGGTCATTACGGGAAATCCCTTCTGTAGAGGTTCTTTGTCTTCACAAAAAGTAAGAGATAAAGGTTTGTGAAAAGAAGATGTATAATATATAAGTAGTAGTAAGTCTATAAAGATAATAACTTTCTAGTTTTTATATATTTTTTTATTATTAGGTGGCTTGTTACTTGGGTTAGCTGCTTTGCGTGCTGCGGTACCGTTTTCACCTTATGCTAGTCATGGACCACACTCACCCAGAGCTGGTAGCTCGTTGCTAAGTCAGTACGACTCGCCTCTGCCAGATGTTTTCTATAACGCCGCGCATTCCAATGATGACAGGTTTGTGTGTTAAACATACTACTTATTTACACAAAAGTTCGATTTTTAACCAGTTTCCAAAATATTTAAAATCGACTTAATACAAATTTAATGAAACTGAATTTGCCTAGCGTAGTAGGAAAATTTTCTTCTTTTGTAAAACTATAGATCGTTGAAATTTTTCATTAGAAAACAACACCGTTCACTACTGGGTATGGGTCTCAACAATTCTAGTAAAGTATACGGCATTCATAACATCAAATTGTTTTAAATTAGAATAAAGTATATGGAACATTTACATATAAGTATTTAAATTGTTGAACTTATATGTACATAAAAATGATTAACTGTTAATAAAACTGTTTTAACAATCGTTCAAATTCTTATTCAAATTATACACAAGAAGAAATGTAAGCGTTAATTTACATTCACTTTACGCCTAGGTACAACTTACACTATTCCAAAGATAAACATTTCATTTGAGATAATTAACGTAGTTTATTTTAAGGAATTGATTTTATTGTTTTAAGGAAGCAGAGACTCGCCGCAAAACTTATTTTAAATTAAGAAACACAATCTACTAGTTGTAACGACGTGTTCGACATAGTTGTTCCTTGTTTTTTATTTTGCAATAGTTTGCTTTCACATTTTATCAAGAAAGTCATAAATATAAAATAAAACAATAAGAAATATGTTCTAAATAATCAAAAGTCGAAAATGTTGTAAACAGTTACCAAGAGCACTTATTTATTAAAAATATTTAAACAAATGATCATTTATAAATATTAAAGCTGGTAACACACGGATCTGTAATTTATTAATACATATACTCGTATTATCCGTCTGGTAATGCGAGTGTGAATCCGCCTGCAGAGTAAATCTCTGCAACAGGAGAGACCCATGTCCAGCTGTGAACTTTCACGGGAAGTTGAGGAATAAGTAAAATAACGAAGTTGCCCATCATGTTGTGTTGAAAAGATTCTTATGATTCCCATTTTTGGATTGTATGGAATGATGGTTTCCGGCCATCTAACTTAGAGAAACAAGTCTTTGGATAGATTTGGTTACAGTTACGCGATCACTGCTAAGTACATAAAACATTAAAACTGGAAACCAACAGTTACTATTCTGCTGCTTAACAGTGGAAATATGTAGGTGTAGATTATTAATATATGTATTTGTTTTTAATATATTATTACAATAAAGTTATGTTTTTGCCTAATCCTTTGCTTGATTTCAAATAAACATCACAATTTGTACGAGATTTTGGATTTAGAATTAACTACGGAAACAAGCCTTACACGAAATTACTTTATTTTTTAAACGAATTGCGTTAATCGTGTATAGTAGGATGTATCCAGTAACAATAATGTTATGATGAATTTAGGAAATAAAAAAAAACCTAAAATCCGATGAACAAATTAGAGATTAGAGTATTAATTCATGGATTTTTGAAAATGTTATCTTTTTTTAAGTAGTTAAGTATTGCACTTGATGGTAATTTATTTCTGTGGTCCACGTGTGTACCTATAATCAACACTCACCCTACAAAAAAGCAAAATGAGTAATATGGAAAACGATGTAATATAACAATTAAGTACATCGTTTTCCAAAGACTGATATAGGACACAGGTGGGTAAAAAATATAAATTGTGCAGGATTGAAACAGCTCAGTTCAGAGATGCTGCAAAAGCTTTTTTTGCGTCTTGTGCACATTATTTTTGTCAAGGAGCTACATTTGCACTAATATTAAAATATGTAGTAGTAAAGTGAACCGGATTAATTCCTGGAGCTCTTTTATTAGATTAGGGAATATCTTTCCAGTCTAATAAAAGACTACGATGCTCTCTTATGCTATTTTATGTTGTTTATAATATAATTTGTATATTCTTTATAATAAGTATTCATACAATTCATGATTATAATAAAATTCTTCATTTACAGATGCGAAGAAATGACTGTTCTGAAAGAAAATACTCCGGAAAAATCGCGATCAGTCACGCCGAAACCGCCTCTCCTTGAACTCTGATGGACTTAGAAATAATGTGTATGAATTTTATCTACATTGTGAAATGTATTATAAGGTACTTTATTAAATATAAATACAATAACATAATTTATTAATTTATAAATAAATTAAACATTAAAATGGCTTTTAGTGAATATTATTTATAATTTATATTGAATAAAGAAATTTCTATAACTATACAAAAATTTATTAGGAAAATTGCATAAATGTTGTGTACCTAATTGTTTTCTACCTTAGATATATTATCTAATTTTATATCTTTGACAACTGTGATAGTTTAGGTTATAAAGTTTATTGTGTTATACAATGCGAAAAATTGTATTATTAGAATAGTTTATAACGATATAATGTAGGTTCCGAAATGTTTTTAAAAATAAATTTTGTCCACATACTCTTTCATTTTTAGAATCACACCTGCTTTTGACTTAAGACAGCATAGTAGGAATAAGCTGCTTTCAGGATCTGGAACAAAAGAGAATTTTTTTTATAATGTGTAATAATTTTGATGTTTATTTTTATAGGGGAATTAATGATCGAATTGACAAAATCTTCGGGGATTAGTGTGTCGAATTATTTATAAGTTCTGAATTTGAAACGATCAGAGCCAATATTTGTAAACATAAACAGATCTTATTTTATATTTCCGAAGTTCCAAGTACTTATTCTGTGGAACCCATAATCACGAGGAGAAGTGAGGCGTATGTTTAAATAATTACCAAAAATAATTACTTATGACGTTCTGTTATAAGTAATTAATTCGGGCTACCTTCAGCTTTTAATTAATTATGGTTTAATCTACGCAGAATGAGCTCTGTATCTTAAAGTTTAGCAGTGACATGCTTGGATTTTGGATTTTATTTTCGCAAGAATATTCAAGCTTCGTTATGAAGACAGTCTGTCTTACGAAGCGCCAACTAATCTCTATATATAAAATCAATTGCTGTCCGTTAGTCTCGCTCGCTCGAACGGTTTTGATAAAATCTTTTGTGTGCGTTTGAGTGAGTCGCTGGAAGGTTTTGCGTAGTAGAGCCAAGCTGCACCTATATTATGGTTGTAGCACGAACGAGTCAGCTCCACCGGCGAAGAACCACGCTCTCACAGAATAGCAGCGTAAAATAGCAGCTTAATACTGTTGTGTTTCGTATTGTGAGTGTAGAGAACCGCAGATCGATTTTACGGGAAACGAGGTATTCCATCTTAGTTCTCATTGGTGACAACGCATCTGCATTTTGATTCTTAATTGAGCATAAATGTAGATATCTGTGGGCCACGGCATCCACTTACCATCAGCTGGACTGTGTGCTTGTTTGTTACCTATATTCTATAAAAAAATTGTTTAGATTCACAATTGTACCCAGTAGGTGGCGCTGATGTCGAGATCCAGAAATCACCCGTGCGAAGCCGGGGCGGATCGCTAGTAAAGGATAAAAACGCGCGTATCAGCACATATTATTATACGAGTAGCTGACGACGAGACGAAGCACCGATGCCCTAGGAATCCATGCGTTACGACCTATGAAGACTAAGATAGAATGCCCATCTGCCGATAATTACTTTTTTCTTTTTATTTTTTTCTTTTTTTTTAAATACTAGCAATGCTCTTTACAATACTAATATTTCCTATAACTACTCCTGGTAAGCTCAAATGCTTGTGTTAGGAGTGGTTCACGACAGTAGTCGAATGGCTGATTCGAACCCACGACCTTTAGAGTTCGCGGTCGGCACCTTTTTGCAGTATTATGTAGCGTGTTGTAGAAAAAAAAATAACTGCACGCTGTTTTTAAGTATTATGATCTAGATTAATTAATATTAAATAATTATTAACAACAAATTTTCGAAGGACCTTCACCGTTTTCGAGATATTTAGAAAAAAAAAATAGTTAAAATTGATTTTTCGGTAATTGAACTGCTCGCCCAAATACCAATATTATAGACCTGCATGTTTTTAGTCATATAAGTCCTACGCGGACGATGTCGTGGGTCAAAGTAGTAGTTTATAAATACAGTACAACCTTAGTACGAGTATAATGAACCTGAATATAATGATTTCTTCGATTTTACAAATTCTTAGATATCCCCTAGAACTGGCCGTAAGAGTTAATACAAAATATACCTTTACGCATAACTTTTATAGAGTTCTTTATAACGATTTTCTATCATTGCATTTGTAAAATCATTTTGCGTAGACGAAAAAACACTTTTTTCTTACAGCTAAAAAGCAGGCATTATCCATATAAGCGAACCCAGCGGCGGTGAGACGCAGGGGTTTTTGGGCTCGCACAATTGTCATAATGAGCAATACGCGGAGACGCGGTGGCATTAGCTCCCACTTACATTGCATCACTGCTTCAGAGACTTGACTTGCCTGTGAAAAAAAAACTCGCATGAAACAGCTAGTTCATTAATAATAGAAAACGAAGTTTTTTTAATTAATGGCTTCGCATGTCAATATCGGATTAGCATAGAATCTACATTAATACATCCATCGTAAATAACTATTTGAGTGAATACATATTTAGACACTGTTAAGGTGTTAAGATCTGAAGGAGAATGCCATTAATTTTATGCAACACAACGTTTTTTATTAAGATAAAAACATGCGACCATTTAACGATATTATTGTGAGATTAAATAATGAGATTAAATGAAATAACAATTGACAATTAAAAATAAAATTCGTAGGCTGACGCGCCATAGGTACTCTAACGCAAGGATATGTTTATTGCTTACGCCAGTCCACCAGTCGACTAGAATTTCCAACCCTACTATATACTAATATAGGTATCCTCTAGTACATTAGAGGTCCAAATACTATGTATCTATAAAATATATAGCAGGCGATGCTACTATATTTTAATATGGCGGGAGGATGTCAATAAAGGCTCACAACAGCCCAAATTATTCCATTAAAAATAAAATATTGATTTTCAGCATCATCATTGCCATCATTAAAATACTTCATAAATTCACTGCCGAAAATAAGCCTCCCAGAAGGAATGTCATTAAACATAGTCCTGAGCCACCTGCACGAGTAAGTAGCGGCACGAAAATCTAGCGGTGACCGTTATTGCGCTTAAGTTGCGGTGATTGGCGTATTGCACATAAGTCACGCTGATTGGCTTGTGCGTATCGTTCGCACGCACTGATTGGCTCTCCAGTCACATTCGTGCAATTCAATTCGTGTGTGTCGTTTCGTTCAGCGCTAGATTTACGTGCCGCGACTTGTAGGCTGGCTCAACTAGGAAAAGACCACGCTCTAACAGAATATCAGCGTAAGATTAGATGCGCTGTGTTTCGTATGGTGAGTGTAGGGATCTGAAGACTTTTAACTGGTAACGAGGTATTCCGTATTAGTCCTCAGGTTTGGCCTGAAGACATTTTGATTCTTAATTGAGAATAAATGGAGGTGTCTATGGGCTACAGCAGCAACAATTACGATCAGATCAACTATGTGATAGTTTGTCACGGTTATCCTATAAAATAAAAATAAATAAAATTATATGGACTTCCGCATGTTTTATTAGGTCATCACTTTATTAGATACACTCTAATACTGTTTCTGCCTCTTCAGTACTCTATCAATTGATACATACTACATGATCTTTAGTTTTCGCAATAAATATACTTTTTTTAAATGTAATAGCCTCGAAAATACTATATTTAAAATCATAAAAGTTGGCATACCTGGGCAAACGTGGTGGTTACTAATTCTACAGGCCCAGCACCGCATGAGTGAAAAACCATATTTACTTATGTGCCAGCAATGACTTGATAACGGGACGATCATATTGAAGAGGAACATTCATTTATATCGACTCTTTAATGAGACATAACTAATATTATTACCAGATTTATAGTTGACTTTAAGACGTAATAAAGTTATTCGGTTACAATTTTCCCAAGAAATTTCCCATTTATGTTAAAAAATCATACATTTAAAATATAAACAACTTCATTGTATGATTTTTTTTAATGAAACATTGAAGAAAAAATTATCTATAATAATAATCTACATAATATTTTTTATAATTTTTGGATTATTCTTTGCAAATTAAAGAAAACTGTTTAAAAATCTAGAGTAAGAATTTGATTCAACATAATAAAGTACCCCACTATATACTCGTATGTATATGTAATTATCAATATAAAAGCAATGTGTGTGTATAATATATAATGTGCACGAATAGGTGTAACCCATTATGATTTTATACTAATGTTATTAAATTTTTGTATTTTTTCTTGATTCTATGTTCCTTTCATATATTCATATGGTAAATCATTTTTTCAAATAATCATCTAGAAAAATGTAAAGCTTTTGAAACATTGAGAAATACTCTATATGCTTAGGTATATATAGATTGAGACATAAATATCGAGACTAAAAATTTATAGCGTGATCAAAAGTTATAGACAATATTTAATAAAGTGGAAATTTGAGGACACGAAACACTTATTTTGCAAGTATATTCATTCACTCGACTGTTTTTTTTAAATACGTAAAATCTGCAAAAAAGGTAGCCATATACTCTAGGGTGTATTTGTCAGAGGCGGCGACAATCCTGGCTTGCTTTTTACCACTAGATATTCTGGCGGAGATGGACGCGAGGGTGTACGACCGAATCCGTGCCCTCCGCCAGAGCGGTGGTAGTGAGCCAGAAGAGGCGTTCGAATCAATTAAACGGCAGGAACGACAAAACGCCCTGGCGACATGGCGCACTCGACTCGAGGCGCGCTATGAACACAAACGCGTCATTGAAGCAATCCTGCCGGTCTTCGAAGCCTGGATGCAGCGACGAGCAGGAAGACTCACCTACAGACTTTCACCGATAATTACCGGGCATGGGTGCTTCGGTGATTACTTCGCGAGGCGACGGTAACTGCTTCCACTGTAGTGGATGGGACCAGGACTCCGCTTCTCATGCGCTCGCAGTATGCCCAGCGTGGGAACGGAAGTGGACAGTCCTGGTGAACCGCATTGGACGGAACCTCTCCCTGCCAGCAGACGTGTCGGCGATGCTGAGCGGGAATTCGGCGTGGAGGGCCGTAGCCACCCTCTGTGAATCTGTTATGATTCAGAAGGAGGCTTCTGAGCGGGATTGGGAGAGGGCGGATCCCGCGCGGAGACGACGTCGCCAAGGCGTTCGTCACGGCCCTCCTCTTGAAAACGATGTTCCCCTACCAGAAACGGCGCCTCCGGGGTTGCAGACGCTCGGGGCAGGGGCCTCGAACGTCTAGTTATGTAACCCCCGAGGAGGACGATGACTCAGAAGTGGTCTCGAGACATCGTGATAGCACTGCGAGGGTGCTGGGGGCAGCAATTACTGTTCCCGTGACGTGCTATAAGCGTACCAAAGCGATGGAGGGGCTCCGGTTGCGTTCCGAACGGAGATCCCAGGACCCCTCGTATACGCTGATGGTGACCACCGTGGGGTTTTAGCCGGTATGAGTCCGGCATAACCTTTTTGTTGCCTCCCCAGCGGAAGGTATCCATGCGGATTTCCCCACGTAAAAAAAGGTGTATTTGTCAGGTTTGCCTGTATAGTTACATCCGTCAGGTAAGCTTGAGCTAAGTAGAGGACATACACGTAGTGGTATACCTGTACAAACTCTCAGTTGAAACCATGGATCTCGAGGCAGTAGCGCCAGTAGGTTAGTTCCTTGTTTTATTGAAGAAAACCGCCACACACGCTGAGCTATACTTGAATAACTAGGTTTATTCCACCATCGATTGATGCTATCGCGTGTATGGAGACCATAAGTTTGATTATGTACAATTATTTTTAATTGTTATTATGAATTCTAATTAAGTCTTTTACGTCAAATGAGAAACTAAAACTAGACATTGTTTGTATGATTTACACATTTATTTTTCAATATGTTTTCTTTATTATTGTCTGTTATATAATGTTCTTCAAGTATCCTCAAATAAAGGAGACAACTTCAAAGTACTATCGAAACTTAGCGCAGGATAAATATAGAATTATAGTGCCATTAAATGTACACTTTGCGCATTCTCGTATGTATTGTTCGACACTTATCTAAAATTGCAGCTACTGCTGCATGTAGTGTCAGAGGATGCGCTAACAACGAACCCGGTCCCAGAGCCAAACCTATTATTATGTTTCTTTTTTTTTTATAAAAGTTTAGGTCTGTTATATATAAAAATAAAGAAATAATACAAGAAAATATATTTTTTGTTAATAACCCTTCTATCTCAGTCAGTACATTTTTACATCACAAAAATAACAAAAAACGGAAACGGGTTAGTAAATCCTATTTCAAAAAATTGTATTCATATTCCGTCTTTTCATTCTTATTCGTTACTAGGTACTCTAGAATCCTGAATCCGTCGTTATTTTTCTTTTATCATGTATTCTTTTCTCAATGCGTAAGTAATCCTTCATGCATACTCGCGACGAAAACTGTTCTGAAAAGAATGGTTAAGGTACTATTGCCGCGTTCTTTATTTCTATATTATGAGCCCGTGAGATGAAACACGTTCCAAGTGAAATACTTGGACGAGTATAACTTGATTAAAGCACTTTCTAGTGTTGTGTTGTGTAGCGATGTTAAATATTTATTTTCATGCTGACGTATTCAATCAGTTCTTCGCTATTTAGATTTGTTTAAAAGTTTTTTTTTCTTAATCGATGATAGATGCAGGTGTCTATGGGCAACAGCTTCTATAGTTATCATCAGATAGATTGTTTGCTCGTTTGTCACGCCACTTTTATAAAATAATCTCATTCGTGGGTGTATGAAGCGACTTAGGCCTAGGGCACGAGATCATACGCTCTCTTATAAGGATAACCATTTATAGGTACTAGCTTTTATAAGCGACTTCGTCTGCGTAGAAGTTAGCGCCAAGTTTTCGACTTATTATTATTTGACAATAAGGCGCAAACTTTGCTAAAACAAACGAATGGATTTTATATAATTTTATAAATTGAAAGCATAATTAGATATAACACTTTTATTTAGTTAATATAAATTCACTATAATAAAAATGGAGAATGTTTTAGTTTTACGGATAATACCAATGATTGAATTTCTAGTTTAATTCAAAGAAATTAAAAAAAAAAATAGATGCCAAGGTTAATTTACTGTTAAGGTTTTATTAAGAGTGTTGTTCATGCAAATACAACATATACAAAACGCAAATCAATATTTTTTTCTTAAAGTCGATACTATTTTCAGTCTATTAAAGTTCACTGTCAATATTTATGAATTACGATAGTCATTCGCTCAATTTGGTCGCGCAAGCAGGACGCTATATGTATTTCGGAACTATTGAAACTCTTTGCGTATTTTTTGTTCATACCATACTGCGCTAGGAAAAACCAAATTAGTTTTATAGGATAAGGGTGACAAGCCAGCACGCAGTCCACCTACCACAGAAATCTACAGTTAACTTCAAGAATAAAAATGCAGCTGCGTTGTCACCCCCGACAACTAAGATTGAATGCTTCGTTTCCTGTAGTAATTTAAAATTAAAAATGTTGTAGAACCTACTTCAATATAAATTATTAAGAATAAATTAAAAAATATCAGTCAATCCTTGATCAATCGATTTATATGGGACCACATGCGAAGCATCAGCTTTCAAATAAAGAATAATCATCAAAATCGGTTCACCGAGAAAAAAGGGGTTATTCGTCATCTCGCCCGACAAAAACTCGCCCGTTCGGGCGACTTGGCACCTTTCGAATTTACCTAATATTTATGTCGTCAACTCGCACGCTCGTACAAAGTACAGCCAGGAAAAAAAATTAACTAAATTTTAAAAATGACTTCAAATAAAACGACATGGTATTAAATGTTACTCGCCCAACCATAAAAATGTGAGGTAACTTAGTACAGTCACATACAAAAATCCTACAGTATAGTCAGTCTTCACTTTTTCCATGCACTCATTGAATTCTACTTCCAACACATTTGACGGAAAATCCGGCTCACAGTTGTGTCTATCCTCCCGCTTATCATCAGTTATCAGTATTTATAGTAAGCTTTGCTTTGCATATACTTCGTTTAGAGCATCTCCAAACACAGGATCCTTTATTTTTCCTATGTAAATTATATTTATAGCCCGCACGAAGAAGTACTGGCTTTCCTCTTTGTGAAACAATTGTTTTCAGACCAGTTCCAGAATTAGATGGACCAGATTGTGATTCAACTCCTAAAAAAAATTGTTATTATTGAAACCGGTTTTTTGAATCAATTCGTGAATAATTATCTAGGCAAAGCAAACCATTTTTTTTATAAATTTCTTTTTTAAAAATTACTTATAGTCTTAAAAAATCTTAAAATTATTTATAATATTTAATTTATGTCTCATAGTTCATTCCAATGCTAGTCAATATAGGACAAAACAAGATGGCGGACACAAAAGCCATATTTTTTAAAATTTTTAACCCTGTTAGTACTCTGTTAGGACAGTACTAAAATAAAACTAGTAGTAATAAAATGCAATTCATTAAGACATAATAACACTATGTAAATAAATTAAATAAACTTACCTCCAACGTACATAAAAAAACACTAAAAACACCAACATTTTAATAAAAAAAATAATCCATATCGCAGCTTAATATGCGCGGGCGCAGTAAAGTACGCTTTACTGACTGACGTCACGATGCGCCACGATTTCGATGGAGATAAAGGGTAAGATAAAAAGAAAGAGACAGCGCTATCAGTGTAGAAGAGCGCTGTTCTTTCGGCCGAAATATTTTTGTTTTTTTTTTATGTACCTATATATATATATATATATATAGGAATATATCTATTTCGGATATAAATCAACAATAGTTAGTCAGTAGCTTTATTATAAGATTTAATAGAATGGCGTTTTATTTGAAGTCATTTTTAAAATTTAGTTTAAATTTTTTTTACCTGGCTGTACTTTGTACGAGCGTGCAAGTTGACGACAGAAATATTAGGTAAATTAGAAAGGTGCCAAGTCGCCCGAACGGGCGAGTTTTTGTCGGGCGAGATGACGAATAACCCCGAAAAAAGTTATGAGGTAACACACATAAAAAACATACAGTCGAATTGAGTATCTCCTCCTTTTTGAAGTCGGTAGAAAAGGGTCACCGGTTCTCTACAATCACCTTACGAAACACAGCAACATTAAGTTGCTATTTTACGTTGGTTTTCTGTGAGAGAGGACCACGCTCCAGTTGAGTCGGCCCATTCGTGCTGATACCATAATATAGCTGCAGCGTTGCTCTACCACGTAAAAATATTAGTGACAACAGTCTACCTGATAGGAAGTGGATACCATATTCTTAGTCAATTGCTTTTAAGAATATATTAACGGCATTCTTTTAAAATCGTATTTTATACGTGGCAGAGCCATGCTGCAGCTATATTAGTAGTGTAGTTGTAGTAGGAATGAGTCGGCTCGACCGGGGATGGACCACGCTCTCACAGAATACCAGCGTAAAATAGTACCTTAATACTGCTGTGTTTCATATGGTGAGTGTAGAGAACCGGAGACCCTTCTTACTGGTATCGAGGCATTCTATCTTAGTCTTCACGGGTGACAATGCATCTCTATGTCATGTCAATGACTATGGGCCATAGCAAACACTTACCATCAGGTGGGCTGTGTGCTCATTTGTCGCCCTTAACCTATATTTTTTTTTAAAAAGAAGGTCACAGAAACTTTATTACCTCAGCGGAATTACGATGATGATGCCTCAAAGTTTGCAATTATACTGTCTTTTTTACGACAGCTGTATGCACTGCTGCTTGGCGGCAAAAACAGGTTAGTAGGGGAATATATGTATACCAACGTAGATTGACGCCTTGGCGGAAGACAGAGCCTTACCATCTACTAAATGCATGTAGTATGTTTATTTTTGTATCGTAGGTATTTACTTAAATACATATTATATCGGACTACTCGAGCTTCATCAATGAATAATTAGAAAATTACATAATAATAAAACTGGTGATTTGTTTTCGTTGTTACCGCTATAAGGCAACTCTAGTGCTTTCGATGGGTTTTATAGATAATATCATTGTAGCTCAGGGGATATCATCGCATCAAAATATCATAGTACGCAAATAAAGCGATATCAATCTCCATCGGCATAAATAAAATATTAATTTGAAATTTTAAGTCGTGATTTACCACTTTCGTAACAGTCATTAAAATATCACGAAAAATATTGCATATACGAAAAATTTTAAAAATATATGTAGAGAACATTGAGGTCGCGTGCCGGACTTTTCCTAGCGGGGAAGAGAAAAACTGTAATAATAATTCATGGATACATGGAATCAACCAACACCATTGGGGCAGCGCGGTGGACTCTGATCCAAAAATCCTCTTATAAGTTTGCTGCTGTTGAATTTACTCACAGTTAACTTGTTACTTTATTTCTGTTTTATATATTTTGAATAAAACTACTTTTACGGATTCTATCGCGTTTAATTAATTTATATTTTTTATTAATTCCCGACGTTATGGGTGCTTTACAGCACCCATGGTCACGGGGACTGAGGTGATTGACGTCCCGATGTTAGAGTTAACCCGGAGTACCTTCAAGCTTTTTTAATTATTAATTTTAGTCCGATCTACGCACCCCGTGACCATTGGTGCTGTAAAGCACCCCAAACGTCGGGAATTAATTAAAAAAAATAAGTTAATTAAACGCGATAGGATCCATAAAAGTAGTTTTATTCAATGTGTACTGTTCGCTTAAATATAAGAAATCATTATGTTTTATATATTGTCAGAAAATACTTACTTGAAAAGTAAGTTCGTTTCCAGTGAAACATTGTATGGCAAGCTGTATGATCATCGCAACGAAGAAAGCCAAAGATGTTACCAGCCGTATTGACTTAAAACTGGATGCATCTTTCTGTAAATGTGTAAAGGAAAAGACTAGAAAGGACAATTATAATAACTAATTTACGTATTACATTTATCCATTAATGTGAGCACATATAAAAAAATCACAAAGCCTTTTTAAATCATATTAAATAAAACGAAAAAAAAAGCAGCTCTCTTGTGTGTAATTATTCAAATAATGTTACGAAACTTAAAATGTTATAATATCTGTCATACCGAAACTTGAACCATTACTACGCAAATTGCCGCCATGCTAGACAGCAATTGAGTCATGAAGCCATAAGAATAAGTCTTCGCGAATTTTTCCACGCAGCTGTAAGAAGAACAAACAGTTACGAATATTATCTTACTTAAGCATAACGATGCGATTACAGAGTAAATTAAAAAAGAGAAATTATTAATGTTAATTAATAATTTCTCTTTTTTTAATTTACTATTAAAAAAAAGATAAATTATTAATTAGCATTAATAATTTCTCTTTATTAATGATAATTAATATTTTTTTATTATTTTATTATTAATATTAATGTCGTTCATTAATTGAGAAAGTCTTCCTTGGGTCTAAATTATAATGCAAATATACAACATATTACGTAGCTTATGAAGCAAATTTTATTTGAATTGGTATAATTTTTTTTGAACATTAATAATCTGTCAGCATCATACTTATAAACAAAATGAATATTGCAGAATTGATCTTACTTTGATATCGAATCGTGAATAGTACTATGTAATGCGACTATGTGTGCTGAACGAGTAGAGCTTTTATCAAAGTCCCTATGACTTCTTTTCATTTAAAAAACTGACGGTGAATATGAAACGCGGATTATGTTGATTTCGGCGTGTGAAAAAAGTAACCGAGCGACAATATTGGTTCGGTAATCCTAAGATATTGCAGCCTGTCATATCCACACAGAATGCGGTTCCCTTTATTGCTCACATCGGTTGAGAATTGATATTTTTTCGCGCAGCGGGACACTATCATTTGCAGGAGTTTCAATATGGTATTGCTCCTTTTTAACTTTTTACGGAGACGCGTCTTTTTGGGTCCTGAAAATATAATTCTGAATATAACGTTTTTATTCCATTGCATTGTAATTGGATGTCCAGTGCAGTGTCCTGGTAGACTATTTATTCACACATTTATCGAAGTTTGGCTCGCGCTATAGCGTCAACTAGTCTGCTAGTTAATTTACAGTGAACTTTACTGCAATTTAACAGAGTTTGTGCAATCCGAACACGGTTTGCGTGCCAAAACGCACATGTTACATATTATGCGTCGTGCTTTAGGGGACTAAGTATAAGAAAAATTAAATGGCATGTTGGCAGTTATAAATAGAAATAATGTCATTGGAATGGGGAGTGAGTATTAATTCACGTAATTCTTGTGTGCACTTCCTAAAATTATCATGTAGTAAATCGATAGATAAACTGGCTACTCTACGAAAATGCTCGAGCTTATCGAGATTAGCTTTGAATAAATCGAGATTACCAATAAATCTCTATACTGTGTCTAAAGCTGATGGTTGGCATTTTGCATCACCAGCCAATACAGCACTCTAATACTTTCACCATAGTCTAATATTAACACATCTTCTTCTTAATCGGCCCGTAAGTGTACATTGCTGAACATGGGCCTGAACTGAGGTTTTCAGTACCAGATGTCTCGAACCTTTGCCGCTGTACCTCGTCGCCGGTTAAGGCATTTTGAGTTTGGCGTAAACGAGATGTTACACTACCATCTATTGTAATACAATCGAGACATACGGGTCGATGAAATGAGGTGATGAATTCCCTTGAGTGACTACTTCAGCGCATAGATTCTCACACTTATAGATAGTTTATCTAGTATATTTTGGGAATTCGGTATGAAGGCAATTTAGTTCTAATCTATAATATGATAAAATGTGTTAACAATATAAGCTTTGTGCTGGTGGCCTAAGTGAATCCAATACCCTATTTCGTCTCTAAGTTAAGTAGTTTTAAGTTTTAAGTCATTTAAACATAGCGGTTTACCTACCACGTTTATGCTAGCCGTAAAATATTCAGATTAGTAACGGGAAGATACCAACGTCTGGAACTGAGATAGCCGAGTCCAGGCGAAGTGATTATTGTAAACCTTCTTTACAGGTAGAGGCCATGTTTAGTAGTAGAATCTTATTGTTGTTGATGATTATGATGAATATAACAACAATAATAATTTAATATAATAAATGCACAGGCGCAGAATACAAGCGTATAAAAGCAGTATAATGCTGCTTAATTTCGTTAGAACTGGAGAGCCTTATTTTTAGTAACGAAGCATTCTCTTTGATTCTTAATCGAGGATTGATGCAGGTGTCATTAGGTGTCTAGGTCATGTTGTTCATTTGTTGTTACTTGTTTAAGGCGTGATAACATTAACAAAATTATTATTATTTATTTATTTAACAACATAAGCATAAAAACATAGGTAACTGCTGGTCCAAAACTAAGCGCAGCTTGTATCTCTGGACCCTGGCATGCGATATTACAAAATGGTTTGTCACTGGACAACATTTCCTTAAAGATATACTATACGATAGTTTTAATATAACATGATTGACATCGGAGGTTAAAAGTAATGCTTCTAATACAAATAATATGGTGGTATTATTTTACTACACAATTAAAATTAAAAATTAATTATAGCGCCTGTAGATGACTCTCTAATAGTTGAAATAAGAATGAGTATATAGCATGCAACAAAATTAGCATAAACTATTATTTTAATTTATTAATGTTTTCTGCGCAGGACAAGATAATGCATGAGTGTGTGCGCAAGCACAGATGCACTCTCTATTCCTCTGCAGTGCGATGGGGCGGCAATTCGACATGACCAGAGAGAGATCAGGCGCAGAACCAACGGCTTTATTTACTTTTGAGGTACGGGGTTGAAACACCGCCAACTTCCTGCTTTTGGGCTGCTACCAAGAATTTCTTGACAATATAAAAAAAAAAAACAATAACTGATTTTGGCCCGACCAACCAGACAGTCGCACTTATGACCTCTAGACCAACGAGGTAGTCAGCTTAATTTAATATCACGAGTTTAATTGACTACCTACTTATTATTATTTATTATGCAGTGTTTTTTTTTCAAAGAGTAGCCAAATTTTAAACTTAAGTTCAAAAATATAAATAATGATATACTGTTATTGCAGGTTTTGAAAAGTAAATAAGGCATTTTATATGAAATTATCCCAAATTGAATATAATTTGTGGGCAACAACGTTTTGTCTAGCGAATGTGTGCGTGCGCCATCGATCACTAATAAAAACTATTAGTGACCGATGGCGTGCGCAGTAAAATCAGTTAAATGATGAATTATCACGCATTTTGAATTTAAAAGATAAAAAGGACTGAATGTTTGAGATTTTTTAAAACTAATTTTTCTTCACATATATACTTATTATGAACCTTCTCTGCCAATTTGGCCAGTTGTTGCAAAAAAAACCCTGTTTATTTATAGATTCCACAAGAGCTGCACTATTAGGCCCTTTGAAAAACAAGAAACCTTTTCTTACCTAATTAATAATTGATGTTGTTTAAAACAATCCTTCAGCACAACCTCCAAAGCATCTTCAATTTCTTTTTGGGTTCGGTATTTCCTCACAAAATGTTCTCTGTAATTATTTTCGATATCGTAGTGGACGTCCATAAAATCAATGTGAGTGCTCTCTTTAGTTCGAATACCTTCAGATAGTTTAGCGATAGTTCGATCATATGCAGTCATGAACGCCTCTTGTAAGATTACAAACTGAGAGCTCATGTGAAGAATAATCGAACCAATGAACGTATCGATTGTCATAACAATGTGACCAGTCCACAAAAGACCCACAGTTTCGAGTAGGAAGGTAAATATATATGATTTCTCTGTTTGATAGTTCCAGGGTATATAAATTGGTTGTGGTAAGGTTCTGGGAGGTATATTTGTTGAGTCATTTAACAGAGAAACTTCATTCCTCCAACGAATATCTTGTATTATTCCATAAACATTGGTGTTGGCAATCGTCATCCACCCGAAAAAGACGAATGATGCTGTTAATATTCGTGTAATTTTAATAGTTCGTCGAATTTTTTCATTGTTTTGATAATATTCTTGTAAACCTATTTCTAAAGTGCGAACAGTGTCTTGAATTTCTTGATTTTTAAAAAAGAAAATATAAAGTTTTATGAGCGTTAAGTCGTGCGTTATAACAAAGGAAAGGCTGAACATGAATCTATCCAGCTCCTTTTCACCGATGAAGGGATCTATCGACTCAAGTCCTACGAATCCCGCCACCCAAACGAGTTCCGTTATAACAGCGTAATAAAAGTACCAACCGCGAAAGTTTCGTGTGTCTGCTTCGTCGGGATGATGCCACCATCCGAGTCCCAAAAACCTTAATAAAAGGTAATGTAATGCGAAATAACGTCTCGGTCGAGATGAAATGTTCATAGCATTCGTCATTTTTATGAGAACGAATATGAAAACTGAGGTAAGAATAATACGTACACAAAATATATACTTTTGTCGTCTGTTACGGGGTGCGGCGATAAAATCAGACGTGATTTAATTATTTAACTTGAACACTTCACTGATTATATAATTAGTAGGTTTAGAATGTACGTTCAAGTGTAAGCTGTAGCGATTTTTCATAATAATATTTAAGTCACCAACCATCCACACAGGTATCGGAAATTCACTGAATATTAAAAATAAATTATGTTCAGTGAATTTTACAGTCGACCTTTGACTGTCGTCATACTTGTTTGTTTAATACTATAATCGATTTATCAAAGTTCAGTGCAATTAGCGGGTTCCAATACACACTGCATTGAACGCATTTTGCTTAGTTCGGCTTAGAACATACTTATATTGTTTTTCATTATAATTACAGTTTCTGCTAAATATTGTAAAATTAAAGAAAAATATATTAACTTACTAATAATGAGCAACCGGAAGAGATTGGAGTAGGTATGAAAAGTGTCAGAAAGCCCAATATTTTGACCTTTTTATACCAGTTTAATATTTAAAATTTTGGTTTTTTATAAAGAATAAAGGAGACAAACCAGCACTAAGTTCACCCGATGGTAAGTGGATACTGTGGCCCATAGACATGTGCATCTATCCTCGATTAAGTATCAAATTGTCACCCCTGGGGACTAAGATGTAATACCTCATTTCCAGTAAAAAGGATCACCAGTCCTTTACGTCTACCATACAATTTTACGCTCGTACTCTATGAGAGCGTGGTCCTACCTCGGTCGATCCGGACCAGTCGGGTTACAACCATAATATAGTTGCAGTATGGCTCTACCACTTATAGGTTATAGGGTGGAACGGGTCATCTCTTTTCTATGACATAAATGTCCAACTAAATATAGCGATTGAGACACCTGATACGTGGGCAGCTGAGGCAAAGGGATTTGTGTGGGAATTGGGATGACGGAGAGGATAAGATCTTCGCTCTGAATATTTTGTTGAACAAATTATGCATATCATTACCTATTAAGCGGGGCAATTCCGCCAGGGTTAAAGCATTATGAAGATGCATCAAGCTATTTAGAACTTGTGTGAGCCCTGGAGAACAGTGGAAAACAATCGCTGTTTTCCTTGAGGTCTAAAACCGTTGACAAGGCGTGGTACGGCACGCTTCCAGCTTGCGGCCTGGTTGACTCAGTGAAAGACTTTCTGAGTAAACGGTTTCTCCGAGACATCGTCAAGGATTGCTCGTTGGATTCTATGATGTTTATATGATACCGGTGTTTCTCAAGGGTCCGTTCTTACGGCAACTCTCTTCATTCTGCATTTTGCATATGTCCGATATTCAGACGGCAGACACAGTTGTGCAGAGGTACCAGCCGAATGCTTGAGCCAGTCGAAGTCAGAATTGTTAGGAGGCTGTCAGAAGATATGCATCCTAGCAATGCTGCACTCAATGGACAGATGTGACTTGACAGTCGGCGTGTCTTCACCGCTTTGCTGTCGATATTCTACGCATTTGAAACAAATGGTTTACTTCGTCCTTCGTAATGAGTACAGGAAAAGAGTGGAATAATCTGCCAGAGTTAGTCTTTTCGTCCGATTACAATCTTTAAGGCAAGAATGAATAACATTTTGTCACGCCTTGGGTGTGCTATTCACCTTTAGGGCTTCATCACCACTTACCACCAGGTGGGATTGTGATCAAACTGGCTTATAATAAATAAAAAAAATAGCTTAACGTTTTACTGCTGGACATGGGCCTTGCTAGAATGGATAATTAACGTAATCACCCGGCAAATAGACTATTGACAAAACTAGATATTTGTTTGGTGATTTTTATACCATCTATCACATATAATATTTCATTATTTGCATATAAATGATCTGCTCATTCCCGGTATCAATGGGTATGCAGACGACAGCACAGTTGTGGAGAGATATCGACCAAGTGCCCGGGCCAGTCGGGATCAAATCCAGTCGGAAAGAGAGGCTATCTACAGTACAGGCAGTCTCCGAATGTGGCGATGCCAATCTCGTGAGATTTAACGCCTCCAAAACACAAGCGTGTCTTTTTACCGCTAAAAGGAGCCCGCTCACCTTGGCTCCTACTTTCCGGAATGTATCCTTGGAGTACACTGACCGCCTTTAGTTGTTAGGGATTGAATTTTCTCCGAACCTAAACTATGGGCGGTTCATTGAGTCCAGAGCCAAAGCAGCCGCAAGGAAACTTGGTGTCCTTGCAAGAGTGCGGCGGTACTTCACGCCGAGGCAGCTTCTTATCTTATATAAAGCGCAAGCCCGGTCGTGCATGGAGTACTGCTGCCACATATGGGCTGGTGCTGCAAAATGCCATCTGGCAGCATTGGACTCAGTGGAGAGATGTGCTAAGAGGCTCATTGGTGACCTTCATTTGGTTGAAACCAATCTTGTCAGCCTCGAGCACAGGCGTAGAGTAGCCAGTCTCTCGGTATTCTATAGGATGCATTTCGGTGAGTGTGCGCAGGAATTACACGCTTTAATTCCTCCCACTCCTTTCCACCATCGGACAACCAGTCGGTCGGCGGGTCTTTATCCCTTTGTTGTCGATATTCCACGCATTAGAACCAAACGGTTTGCTTTGTCGTTTGTAATGCGTACAGCAAAGGAGTGGAATAATTTGCCAGCGTCCATCTTTCCGTCCGAATACAATCTGGACGCTTTTGTTACGATAAAATAGTGCGATGTACCATCTAAGGCTACATCACCACTTACCATCAGGTGGAATAGTGGTCAAGCACTGACTTATAATAAGTAAACAAAAAATATTTGTGGCGTTCTCCGTAGCCGTCTCTGGTGATGGATTATTTTACACTGCTGTAACACGGTAAACCTGAATCATAATAATCTACAAAAAACATTATTTTTATTCACTTACAACTTTCTGGTTTTAACGCGTGGTCCCTAAATCATAATTAATTATTAAACTCATCGACATGTAACAGAGGTTTGATAATTATAGTCCTAAGAATTAAGCGTGAAAGTTGTTAATTATGAATAAATTATAAAGTCAGAAACCAACATTAATTAGTTTTATACTTCGTAATATATTTTCTTGTTTGTTTTCTTGATAAAGTTCACGTGCAGACAAAGTATTATAAAAAAAAAATGTGCACGGAAAAAAGCCAGGTCGAAATAAAACTTGTTTTTATTTTATATCTTGAAGGTCCCTAAGTCGTATAGTTCTGGAAAAATCGCCGGTGTAAGTCGATTCCACAAGAAAGTTGTGCGAGGAGGAAAACTCCTTGTAAATCGTACAGTGGTGGACCGCCAATCATTCAGATGGTATGGATGGTATCGAGAGTTTTGTCGCGATGTGCGATGGTGAAATTGAGCGGCTGGAAATAGCCTGAACAATTCCTTAAAGCACTCCCCGTGGTAGATGCGATACAATACGCTAAGAGATGCAACATCTCTTCGCGTTGGATGCGATCAAGTGGAAGGAGCTGGCACTGGGGTGCCCCGGCCCAGAGATGAGAACAATATTCCATGTGAGGCCGAACTTACGCCTTTTAAAGTTGCAAGCGGTGTGCCGGCATGAAATACTGTCCCGTTCTACAAAGCACGCCAAACTTTTTAAATGTTAATTTGTCTAGATAAAAAATATTTTTTAATAAAGACACTCTTATTGAATAAAAGTACTTCTACGGATTTTATTGCATGCCTTAAAGGCAAAGAACGTAGGTGTATTCTACTAACGCCTTAAATCAAGATTCCAACGTTTTGTCGCATGAAATCGTATCTAACAATCATATTGTACATATAAATGATATAAAAAGCATATTGTCAGAAAGATAAATGATTGTTGAAATTATTTTTTTTAATTGTTTAACTGTTATTTTTACATAAAAAAGTGGTTTTAGTGGCGCATCGAAGGGTAAACACGGTAACGTTTGAAAATATCAATTGTTTAACTCAATCTATTTTTTAATCTTTTTATCTATCATGTGGGAAGCCATGGAATGTAAATGGCAGTTTAATTTTGTTTTGTTTAGTTATAATTAATTGTTTTCGGCTGAGAAATGCTGAAATTTTCGGTGTTTTGAGAAGCCTTGTAATAATTTAGTTTATTAAATACACTTTGCCTCACAGCTCACTCGCAGTTCGGGATCGGCTGCCGTCGTGAGTGGATTACGGTATCATTTGCTTACAGCAGCGGTAATAGGCAGCAAAAATATCGATCGCTGTAGAAATACAAAATATTCCAAAAACCATATTTGATACATACTTCATACCGAGGTTATTATTTTATAATCACAGATTTTATTATAATATTTTGTTTCGCTAAAAGTACGTAGAATTTATATATAAATATACTTACATGTCTTGGACTTTATGGAGTAACTTCGGGTTACTTCGGTATCTGCTACTGGAACTCGTCAACCAGTAGTACTAGATATGCCGAGTTTGGCCTCGTTTTGTTAGTTGCGATGAGACCTTACCTCCGGACTTAATAGAGTGACTTAAAGGTGTACTTCGGTGAATGCTACTGGAACTCTTCGACCAGTAGTACTAGATGTGCCGAGTTTGGCCTCGTTTTGTTAGTTGTGATGAGACCTTACCTCCGGACTTGATAGAGTGACCTGAAGGTGTACTTCGGTGAATGCTAGTGGAACTCCTCAAAGAGTAGAACTGTGTAGAGTTTGACCTCGTTTCGTTAGTTATCAATAGATCTTACCTCCGGACTTGATGGAGTGACTTGAAGGTGTACTTCGGTAACTGTTACTGGAACTCTTTGACGAAAAGAATTACAATTTACAATTTTTTTTTAATTTTTCACAATCTCATGCGTCTTGCAATTTTTGATTTTCTAAGCTTTTTTTTTAAATTGAAATTTTACATAAAATTATCGGTAAATTGGAAGTATAGTAATAATTATAAGGTTTTTAGTGAAAACTTGTGTGTAATTAAACTACTTTAAGAATTTACATATAATCATGTTGTAC